TAAAAGGGACACAAACTGGTCAACTCTTTAGGAACAAGCCGGCTCAGGAAATTTGCACTTCATTGGTTTAGACTTGGTATCTCATGAAACTGAAGTTGTCACAAGCATATTGCTTTTTACTGCCACTATTTTAAAAATTAAGGAAGAGTCCCCATAGAAGCTGCTACTTTCATAGCATGTGTACAGGCATGCCTTGAACTCTATGAAGGCAAATGCCTTCATAGAGCTGTATGAGGACCTTGCCCCCCTGCACTTGAGCGCTAGATGAGACACTGTAATAGTCTAGATGTGTATTACTATTGACCTGTGGCAGTGGCAACTCCTAAGTGCTACAGATCTGTCACCAATCAGGGTAAAGTTTAGAAAATCTGCCACAGCGGCCTGTGAGATATGTAAGGTTGTTTTAATACTGTATTGCCCTCCTGATTGGTCAAAATGGGAAATGTTCATGAAACAATAAGGGCTCTGAAAAGGTGGGATTCTGAAGCCTCAAAGATGCGATTTATGATGCATATATTCATTCTCTCCCTGGCACATCAGTGAAGTGGTTAGCAGGAAAGGAGGCCACTTGTTCTACTCTCTTGGCATGGTGTTGGATCCTACACTGGATTGACTTGAGTTTCCTGTAAATCTGGCCTATTTCATAGGGGCAGACTGGTATGTTTCTTTACCCCATGCTTAATTGGCTATCTATACTAACTGATTTTTAGTAGATGCAGCATAGTCCCTGCTATCCTGGTTGGTGAAGCCATGTCCCGATGAATGTTATGAGGCATGGTGAGCAAATGTGGAATGGTAGCAGAATATGGCTTTGGGGCTGATTAAAGGCAAGGTTATGATTTTTAAAAAAAAATGTAAAATGATGTGATGGACTGTCTTGTAAGCTTAAAGGAGAGTAGGCTGGTCTGAATTACCACTGTTTATGAATTGGTGTGTACTTACAGGCTATCACCCTTTCATTGCTTCAGTGTGTGCTGGAGTAAAGGCTGTAAGGAAATACTATTTATACTTACTATTTATAGTCAATCTTATTTGTCCAGAAGGAAACAATGAGAACCTGTAAAATGAAGCTAATATTGGTGTGATGGTCTGAGAATCACTAGCAATTTCCTAGGAATTCTTCAGCCTGTTTAGAGCATGTTTTAACACACAGGAGATTCACCACCAAAGTTCCTGATCCTGGATAGCATCTCAAACAGGTTGGATAATTGTTGTGGCCACAATGTTCCTCAAAATATCTTGCTTTTCTTTGTCAAACACCGTATTTTGTTTTCTCATCCCATAATCACAGCAGAAATGGTCAAAGCATCTTTTTCCCCCCCTTATTCGCTGCAGCTTTTTTTTTGTACTTCCTATGCATCTCCTTCAAATCCATGTGATCCTTTTCTAGAGAATGTAATTGTGTGCTTGCATTATGAGAATTTATATTCCTGCAGAGCTTTGTCCTTGTTCAGAATTCTGTTGCTGAAGCTACGTGGTATTCTAATAGCTAGGCCATACCTTGATGGGTCATATACGCTTGCTTTTGCTCCTGATACACAGATGAAGAGCACCTTTGATTTCATAGTTTTTTTTTATTCTGCCTATGGGGCTGCAAGTAGTAATAATAATACAAACCCCCCCCCCAAAAAAAAACCAAAACAAAACACAACAACAACAAAACATTTATTACAAAAAATGCTAATCCCTTGGCTTTTTTTTTTTTTGCCTTCCAACTTCCACCTGTTCAGGACTTTTCTTGAGGAATTATCTTGAGAAAAAGAATTAGTTTATTCTACTCTCTCCAGCATCCAAAACATTTTAAGCAGAAGGACTAGCTAGTTGCTTGAAGGTGTAGTAGCAAGGATGATTTACATTGCAGCTTTTCCAGGCTGCAGCACCTTTTTACAAGATCTTTGTTCAGAAATCAGAATGGAAAAAGAAACATTGGAAATGAGACCATGCTCTGCTCTTAAAATGTTTCTGAAGTTTGTAAAACAATGAGCTGAAGTTACTGAAAAGGCAATTTAAATTATGAAGCTGGCAGAGGGATGCTTACCTTCTAGTTGCAGATTTTTTAGAGTGAATGACATTAATCTTTTCATGGAGTGTAAAAAGAAACAATTGGTGCACTAGTGGCAGATTGTCATAACGTGCAGATAGTCTGGGATTATAATGTCTCATGGTACTTTTAAAGTGTTTTTTTTCTCTCTGATGGCATGGACACTGAACATGTTGCTGAGGTAAATAAAGACAAAGGAGGAAAGAAAGGTAAGCTACTGAAGGCTTAGCTCTTACTTAACTGTGGGGTAGTGCCTTTACATGGGAGTGCCTCTTCAGCCACTGATGTGGTGTGAAGCCCTGCCTTTATTTACTTCATGGTAATTTGTTAATGTGTCCATGCCCTCAAGTGCAAAGCCTTATCAGAATTTTGATGCGTTTTTAAACAATCTTTTTTATCAAGGGTAACTTTGTTTCAAAAGCTGGAGATGGCAAGCCCTGCGAAAACTGAAAGCAGCCTTGGACTGTGGATAGTGAACAGAGGGATATGAAAGCAATATTGCTTTTGGTCATGGGGTTTTAGCACAGATGGGTGGGATTACTATTACACAGGAATGGGTGCCCCATGGGTTTATGAGAAGGGACTGCATGCATTTACTACATTAATCTTGTAGCAACATGAGATAAAAGCAACCTTGAGCTGTAGCCCAGAGTATTGTGGCTACCTTGCTGTTTGGAACTGATAGCAGATTATCTGAAGTGTCTGAATGTCAGCTTCAGTGAAATGCAATAAAAACAAGGCTTCTCACAAGAAATAAGACAAGCAAGCGCCCCGCCCCGTACTATGCAACCCCTGGTACTTCTGCAGTTTGCTTTGAGTTTTTTCAGTATGACCTCTTGTAGTTATTTTTGTAGCTAGCCCTGTTAGATTCAAGTGCATTTTTATAAATCAATGTAATCTTACGTTTTTCTCAGACCAGTTAGTATTTCTATTTGCTTTAATAAAATTTGATATTGTGCGTCTCCTTTGGTTGTAAAGTGTTGCTGCTCATTGTTGTATTCAGTAGCGACTGTGCAGTGAGACATACAGGCAGTACTCTCATGCAGAGTAAATTCCCAAAACAGTCAGGTGATTCTGGCACTCATGCAGCTGCTTGAGTTTCAAGTCAGTGCCTCACTGTCTTCTGTCACACGATTGCCTGTTATTTATCAGGCTCTTAAACACCCAAACAGCTTTCAGGGCTGGCTGGATTTAGGAAAGAGATTATGCTACTATCTTTTGGGTGATCCAATGGGAATTACATTGATCTGGTGTTTAGCCCTGATTCTTATCAAGTGGATTGCATCCAAGGTAGGCCATGTTGTTTTGACTGAGTGCATTTATATTGGTCCGAAAAGGAGTCACATAGTTAAGAACTGTTGTTTACAGATGCTTAAATTTGTCCAAATTCTAGTGTCTGTTGTAGTAATCTATCCTTCTTAAATTAGGTTGTGCTGCTTAAATGCTTATACAGATTTAAATGGCTCTTTTGGAATACCCGTTTTAAGTATGATGTGTATTTCTGGAGTAATGTTCGTAGGGTGGCCAAGAGAAACCCAAATTTGTTTCTGTGCAATAATGCAACCTATTTTACTAATATGACTTAACTTTACAATAGTTTAAAGAAACTACAGATTTTAGGGAATGGGAAACTATTTTCAAAAAATATTTATTTTTATGCAGCATGACTTAGTTTTTTGTGTGTTAGTTTGGTTGGATAAATTTGTTTTAAAGTGTGTTGCAGTGTTAGAAGATTAAGTTTTTGGTGGTCTTTTTTGTAGTCTTCTAATTTCAGTCCTTGTGCCTATTTTCATAACATGAGGCAGTCTAATATTAAACTTGTAATTGTCCTCTATACGTATGTACTATGGAACATTCATGTCTCTTATAAATGCATGTTATTTTTTAAAAATCATTTTAAGGTAAAATCCTGCCCTTGTTAAGTCAGGGAGGGATTAGCCTTCCTTATAGTCAGGCCAGAAATTCACTTCTAGTCCTTTTTACTTATTCTAGGGATAACATTGGTTGTCCCTATTGGTTCTTATCCTTAGTAGCCTAAAATTTTAAATGAAAAATAATGCTACAAAAAGTAGGGCATTAAACAGGGAGTTTGGGAAGGTAGTTTTGGAGTCAGTGGGAAAGATGAGGGAGACTTGAAAAATCAGAAGTAATATGTTAATTGCATGCTTGTAGTGCTGCTTATTAATATTAATAGCTTGGGTACAGAGTACTGCTTTTGGGTTGAGCTAGACATGATGAGCAATATTTCCCAGACAGCTGTACTAATGTTGTTCGGTCACTCATTACCTGCAATGTAGCTCTAGGCATAAGCAGAGACTGACAAAATTCTCAATTCTTAGTAAATGACATGGTCGTTTTCCTATGAAGAAAGATTGGAATGTGCCTATTAATATTTAGTTGTGAGAGACCAAAATTAAACCCCTGGTTGCTTGAAGCTTTACAACTAATGAAATATCCCATTGTCATGCAGCTATTATCACTCTGATAGAGTTGTTTTAATTTTCTTAGAAACTACTTGGCTGAGTGAGATTTCTTTTTTCCTTTAGAATAGATAAATATTACTGAAAACATGGAAAAGTAATTAGTAGTTCTAGATAGCTGACAAGACTGCTGTGCAAAAATTATTTACAATTTACGTAAACTACCAACCACAATTTAAAACTGTTTCTTTAAAGTGTAATTTTTATTTCTTGCACCTAATTCTACCAGTTTGCTGCTGCTTTTGTTTCCATTACTCACTCATACGGCTTTTTTTTCCTGTTATGCTGTCTTGTTTTTCCCTGTCTTTAATGATCAAGGTCCAGTCCCTGCATCTCCAAATCCCTCCTTTAAAGCCAATTAGTTCCTTCTGCTTGATTCTGATTAAAGTGCTTTCCAGGTCTTCTGCCTCAGAGAATGATCAACACTAAAGCATGGCACTGCCCAGTCAGGTAAATGAGAACCTGTTGAGGCATTTGTCTGTGTGTGTCACAGCATGTCATAATCCTTTGAAATAGTTACTGAGATCGGTAAAGCTGCTCAGTAGACTATACGGACATGATGTAGGGAGTTCCATTCTCTTGAGCCCATGTATTTAAGACCTATCTCATGGATACCTTCAGCCAAAGTTCAGAGCATGCTACCAAACCACCTTCAAGTTCAGGTGAAATGGTCAACTCCACCTTTCCTATTGCTGTGTCAGAAATCTGAACTATTCAACCAGAAAGTGAGTGCTTTTGCCACGAGGGTGCTCACCAGCAAGGTCATGGTGATGCAGGAGCCTAGTCGCAACCTTTTGTGCCAAGAAGCTAAATGCATTTGGCATCCTATTATCTTAATAGCCTTTATTTTTGCAGGTTTTCAGCATGCTCTGACAGACTCACTGCCCTTTTCAAAAGCTGAGTGGCATCTGAAGCTTTTGGTCTTCAGGCTTCCATGTATCAACTTGTTTGATGTGCCACCACCTTAAATACTTGATATTCTGCTTCAGATGAAGTGAGTGTTTGGGATCCCCTCAGATGCTTGTCTTGTCCCTTTGCTTGTACTAGATCCTGAGGATCATAGATATCTGGGTCTTGTGGAAGCTTGCACAGATCAGTGGATTATCCCAAGAGTTTGATTTTTTTTGGAGAAGGTAGCTCTGGTATTCAGCTGAGAGAGTTGACAGGCTTTTGGTACCTTACAGCAGGTTGAGTAGAATATGTATCAGAATGATGGATGTAGGCTACAAACACGTTACTTTTTTGGGGGATAAATCATAAAAAGGCTCATGGGATAAGAAGTGCTGGCAGTTTTCTGTCCAGAGACCTCTGCTTCTGAACAGTTTATGCGGGATTACATCATTGAATCTGTCAGAAAAAGTGGCTGTACATTCAGGTGCTCACTAAACACTGATTAGAAGAGCACTGTGCATACATATTAGTTCAGGGATATTTCTCTTCTGGGATGAACACAAGCACAACTTGTCCAGGGACAAATGTAACATCTGTTTCTAGCCTTAGAGTTGGTACACCTGACACTTGTGAATGCTGTCTGGTTGACATCTACCAAGAGGAACTGTTCAGGAAGCCAACTTTGAGACAGGCCTATTGATCTAAAGGGTTTCAGTGTCGCCATCTGACCCATTTACAAGCAATTATACCATAGGTGGTAGACTCCATGCTATCATTAAATAATGGTCTGTATCTTAATTCAGTCGGCACACCATTCCTCACTGCAGACTGAATAATTTGTTGCCTTACATTTTTCCATCAGGCAGATAACTCTTGTCCCAGCAGAATACCAGTGTAGCCCAAGGAGGAATAGTGGGGTTTCTTTTGAGTTGTGACTGCTCCATCTATTTCCTTTTCATGAAAGTAGCCTGTCTGGTGGTTAGGAAGACTGGAGAAATTCAGATCCTCCTTATACTTACGAAAGTATGAGGGTGTTCTAGGACCTCATCTTATGTTCTTGCGTAATGTTATAAGTATTAATTAATCTATCTACCTTCTGTTTTTCTTTTTGAAACCTCCTTCATTAGTTGAAGCAAAAATGCGCACACTGATTATAGCCAGAGTGCTGATCTTTTTATATGTAATTGAAGAAGCTAATGAAAATTTGTGCGTTTTGTAGAGCCATTGATATGAGAAAAGTATAGATTTTTCCTCATGGAAATCTATACATCTGGGCCTCTTACTTAGCTAGCATATAAGAAGGATTCATCTGTATGTATTAGCTCCCATTTGACTTAAGCTTTGATGGTTCCCTCTACCTTTTGAAACAATGCTCATTTGATTGAGATCTGTAGAGCAGTGATGTGGAGTTCAATCTACCCTTCCTACTTGGCACAGGCATCTGTATCAGATGCGAGCTTCTGTAGACTGGTCCTTCAGTTGATAGTCCAGCAGGACTTCTCGTACCCTTTGCCAGGGCTGGATACTCACTGCAGGTCAGATTTTTATTAAAATAGATCCCAAGTATTTATATGAAGACAACCTCTAACTTGTTTTCCTGTAAAAAAACAAAAAAACAACCCCCCCAAACCGACCCCCCCACCATACAAAAAAACCCCAAACCTGGGGGGGTTTTGAAACAATCATTTCTTCATTTCGTTCCCAAAAAACAGTATCTCAGATTTATTAATGTTGATTGTTCCAACCCATTTGTAGAACAACACTGCTGAAAAGCATCTAATAACCTTTGGAGGCCTGTTTGGGATGTGACATGAATCATCATCTGCATAAAGCAAGAAAGGGGTAGGGTTGTTCAGTATCAAGAGTACATGGAATCTATTCCCTGTTAGCACATTCAAGAATAGATTAAAAAGTAGCAGAGCAAACATCCTTTTCATACCCCTGTCTTGGTTAGAAAACTACTGGGCAGGGCACCACCAATCCCACACTGCACACTAGATGCTGTGTTGGAATGTTAAGTACCAATTAGTTATATGTGCTTTATCCATTGATGTTATTGCCAGTTTCTTGCATAATTCAAATAAGTCTGTAGAATCAAAAGATCCCTTTAGATCTTTGAAGACTGCCTATGGATGATTTTGTCTTTTTACATATTTAGATTCTAAATAGCACAACACTAAGCAATGCCCCATGCAAGAACACCCTTCCTTGAAAGTGGCCCTGCTCTTTTCCTGAAATGTTATTTTCAGAAATCCATGCCTGAAGATAAAATAAATGTCTCCCAAATGTTTTGCCGGAATAAGACTAATACGGGATATGATGCAGGATCTCTTATCATCATTTAGAAAAATTGTGACATTTTTTCATTCCAATACTTTTGATAAATGCCTTTTAAAGTAATATATTTTTTTTTGTTTTTAAAATTGGACACTACCAGTCAATGAATTCCCTGAAGATTTCTGGGGAAGAAAATAAAAGTTGGGAAGGGTCTTTCCGTTACTTACTAAGGATATATATAATCTTATTTGAGATTCATGGGTGTAATAATCTGATTGTGGTTTAGCAGATAAAATTTGCTTCAGCAAGAAGCTGTTGTTTCCTTCACTTGTGCTCAAGTTGTTAAACTTGGTTTTAGAAAACAAAACCTATGTATCTTCAGGAATACATGTGTTGGGATTTAAGCTGTTTTTGTCTCTTTGTCTATAATCTGTCGAAATACCGATTTATTGTTGTTTTCCCCTGTGGCTACTAGTTCCTTTCGTAGTCTTGTTTTGGTATTATTACGTCTTTCTGTTATTTTTTATACTTTATTTTAATTTTGATCTGTTGCAGATTAGCTCAATTGTTTTTGGATTTGTATTCCTTCAAGGCTACTATTAAATCATTTTTAGCTTTAGAGCAGTCTGCATCAAGCCATGGTTTAGGTAACTGAAACTGCCTGTTCCCAACAAAGATGCTGTCTTGTATGAGAACATTGTCCACTGTTGAACAACTGCCTTGTCCCGAGTAATTGTTTCTTGGGGGTTTTGTAACTTTGAGAGTATAAGTGGCTTTAAAGTTTCAACAGTGCATACTCTAACCAGAGGCATAACTACTAGGGTTTGGGTACCCTGGCAGTGGCTGCTTTTTTTGCACCTTCTCTAAGTGGGTACTTCCGGTTAGTGCCCCAGTCACCCCTACCCGGTTACACAACTGAATGTAACTTTTAAAACCAATTAAAAATAAGTTCATTTGTTTTAAGGAGACACTATGAAGTGTAAAGGTCAAACTTTCTTAGTGCATATAAAATATATTGACTCTTTCCTTTTTTTTTATAGAGGCGTGGAGCAATTTCCTATGACAGCTCTGATCAAACTGCATTGTATATTCGTATGCTAGGTAAGCACAGCAATTTCTATTTTACAACTTTCTGCCATATTTTGTGATCTTTGCTTTAAAATGGCTGTTTTGTGCTGTAGTTCAACTTACAAATAGTCACCTTCTGATTCATCCTTTGATTTCTACCCCCACGCCCCACTGTATTTTCAGCAGTTAATTTTATATGCCAACTTCTAAAAATTGTTGTGCTTAAAAGTTGCATTTGAGGTTTGAGCCCACTGTCATGCACAATGTTTTAAAGATATGTGGGAAACTGGTTTCTGTGACAAATGCATTAAGATGCTCATCTATGGAAAGAGATTAAATGGGAGAAAGCTTGAGGGTTTGCAAGACTTTTATACATCTATTTAAATTTATTTTATTTTAATGGGTGTCAGAACCTTTTCCAGGTTTTGAAACAATTTCATGTGCAGTCTGTATTTGTATTATAGCAGTCATGTTGAACCTTATTCATTATGCAGGCTTCTTTTTATAGCAGAACCTTTTAGCACTTCTGTATGAGCTTGTCACTTTTGTTATAAATGCTTGATTATAACAAAATATTTGCATATGAAAATAGTTGTCCTGCATTTATAGAGTTAAAATCCAGAATCTATTTTGGTAGCTCAAGGTAATTTTGAAATAATGACATAGATCGAAATGGAGTAATTTCTGAAGAAGTAATTCTCTGCACCCTTGTTTGTCCTACCTGTGCTGCCCATAGGATCAGCAACTTACAGGATAGGTTAGGAGCAGGGTGTTGGCTTGAATGTAGAACCTAGTTGTCCTCTCCTTTTGTCCAACCCTGTGGAAATAATAGAAGAAAATATTTGAGGAAGGAATGGTGAAGGGATCCCCGGAGCAGTCTCTAGTTTATATATGGTTCTGCAGGGAGCCAATTGGAGCCTGGTTTTACTCTCCTCTAATTGAGTAGTGGCACTAACTAGGTCCTAGCTGGGTGCTGTCTAATTGTGTACAGGACTGCTTTGTGGGTGGTAGCTGAATAAGGGACACCATTAATTTGAAGAAGAAAGATTAAAAATGGGTGGTAGTAACTATTGGGACAAGGGTTCTAGAATGCAGGGCACAGACAATAGTGGAAATGTATTGTTTGAGGCTTCTGGATTTGTGTTTTTTATGCATTCCAGGGGAAGTTTCTTGAAATTTATACACATGAAACTCATTCTGAGCTCTCTAAAATTAGGGAATGGATCAAAAACAATTTTATTTTAAAAATCCTGATTTTTGTGTGTTAATCTCATTTTTGGACTGTCATGGCTTTTAAACTTGGAAGTAACTGTGGTACTGATGTCTGCATACTAAAGATTAGGTTTCTGAGGCTGGGGAAGTAACTACTTCAGAACGTCTGAGAGAAGAGATGTTAAGATTTTAGGAAGCAGGTGAAATAACTGAATGGCTTGATTTCCAGTTCTGCCAATTTTATAATGGAATGACACTTGATTTTACAACTGAAATTTTATTCTCACTTGTGTTTTTCTGCAGCATGAATTTTAGTGCTCTGCAGTGTGTGTTATGTCACTTTTGTTTTGCTTTAATAAACAAGTAAATTTAGCGTCTGTAGTGTAAGTTTCCTTATTTTGAGGATTTAGTAATACTGAATTTTACTTTTTATTTCTGTGCTTTTAATTGATGCTTCCCAGTTCACTTCCTTTTCTGTTATTACAGTGAAGTTACCTGCTTCAGAGATGAATAGTTTTCATTTTTAATTCCCTCAAATGAGAATAATGTGTGTCAAGCTCTAAAGTAATTTGAGGTGCTTGGATAAAGGGTTTTATAAATGCAAATTTAAGTTAATGTTTAAGCTACACTACTAACAACAGTAGCTCAGTCTACAAATAAATAGAGAGGTATAATAGGTTCTGTTACTTTTACTGGGAAAAATAGGTGATTTATGATTTATTTTTTTATTTTTTTATTTTTTTTGCCTCTTGCTGGAAAGAAGAGTAAATGCACAGTATTATTGCTGGATTGTTAATGCATAATTACTTTAGAGAGAATCTTTTGGGGTGATGAACAAGTACAATATGGGAAAAATAAAGTATGCCTTCTTTCATACCCTACTTGAAAGCGATATCTCACTTTTGACATCCTTGTCTTTTAAAAGGCAGAAATGTAATAGATTAGACAGGACTGTAAATGCGTTGACTGTTTTTAATTTTTACTAGTGTATAAATGTAATTTACTTGGATGTTTTACTGTGGAAAGAACAAATCTGACTTGCTATTGGATTAAACAGGTAATCAAATACAGTGAGTCTTCTAAATCAGTTTTTCACTTTTATTAGCAACAAATATTTTTTTCCTAATCTTTGTAGCTGGATAATTCTTTCACTCAAAATGCACACTGTTAGGTCTTCTGGCTAGTGGTTATCGGTGTTCTCAAATGTTTAAGCCTTTGGTTGTACAGGTTTGTAACAAGTTACACATTTCTTTTCATTAGTGTTACCCTATGAAATGATCCTGAGAGAGACCAGTCTGAAAATTCAACAGTAAGATGAATCTTCCTAGAGAACAGTTGTCATAAACTTAGATTCTATCTGTGATTCAAATGAACAACATCTTAGTTTGTGTTTTTAATACATTTGAATAAATAAGGGTAATAAGCTCTTTACAGCAATACAGGTATTTGTAAGCCAATTGCTTTTGCACACGCTTGCAATGCAGAACACAAATTTGACTGCCACAGGGGTGTAATTTTATATTGATTTAGGTAAAACTGTTATCTTTGCTTGAATTTCTGATTAGTTCAGTGAACCAAGAAGAACATTAAAGTATGATGGAATAAGACACCATTTTGGTATGCTAAAATTTATTCATAAAATTGAAACTGCTTGTGACTTTCCCTTAATGGCTTTGTCTGCAGTGTAATCATAAAACTGCTTTCCTTAAAATTTTCAGGCTGTTGGAATCCCAGACTTGAATGGAAGTTCAAGTGACTCCAGGTGGATTGGAACTACTGTGCTGTGGCAGTATTTCCAAATCCAACCAAACCATCATCTTGTGTGGATACATAAATGGATGGGAAAGCTGTAACAGTCTCCACTGGAGGCAATGTCTGACTGATTCTTATTGATTTAAGATGATTCCTGCTTTCTCTGCCTCTGCGGAATAGTCGCCCATTTTATCATGCTCATGCGGAAAACGCTCCCCTAGCTCAGAGTTGGTAATTTAGGAAATGACTTGTTCACCTCTTCAAAATATGGACATGGATGCAACATTGTAGAATTCTGCTTAGTTGTTCTTCGAAGTGGTCTGGCTATATGACCATATTCAGCTGCTTCTGTTTACAACTCTCCTTAGTGTTTCCCTTTGATTGTTCCTGTAAAACTATGATGCTTTCATTTTCTGATGTGCTACTTTTCCTTTTTTTTGTATTTGGTACTTTTTTCCTGCTGGACAATGCTGGGGGCTAGAAGTTAATGGTCCGTAGGGTAGCCTGTCCCAGATTATTTGCATACAGATCTCAGATGGAGTACTGTGCCCTATATTTAACGAGTCTGTGCAAATTCTGCATGGCCAGCTAGCTAACACTATAGAGAAAGGAAAAATAACAAGCTGCAAAGGCAGAAAACTATAATTTGGAATTTCTTTTTACTCTATAGACAGTTTAAACTGGAAGTAGTTTCCTGTGTTCATTTTACATGTTTTTGGTCTTATCTTTGCACAAAGGACTTTCTTGTGGAAACCATGAACTTTACAACTTCACACTGAATTTCTGCCCTTTTAAATTAGTCCTGCCCTTTTCCTCCCCTTTGTTCTTTCACCGGCCTTCCCAGACAAGTTTCTCCTCTTTGCTAGCCCCTTGATGACTTTTGGCCTTCCAAAAATGCTTTTCAGTTATTCCAGGGAAAACTGAATATGCAATATAACAAAAATGACTGAGAACGCATAACACTCATTTACTTACTCACAAGGGGTGCTTGCAGATGTAACCCCCCCCCCCCCCCTCCCCTGCGCTTTATTTTAAACTTGGTGCATTCTCATGCCAAACCCTGTACATACTCAGAAGAGGCAGTGTGTTATTTCAGCCAGGCTCACCTGACATCTGTAAAGATCAGGTACTTTAGTGGGGCTTTTTGGTGCTTTTATCTAATAGCTGATTGAAGTAGCTTTAGCTAAAAGTGCCAAAAAGCCCCACTGATGTGCCCGATCTTTACAGAAGGTGCAGAGCCAGGTTGAAGTAATGTGCTGCTGCTTCTGGTTTAAAAAAAAAAAAGAGGCTGCAAGCAGCCAAAATCAAAGCTTTCAACCCTGAAGGCTTTTTTTCTTCTGGAGAGCGAGAGTTTTCCTCATCTTTGTTTCTGGTTCTCTTTGGATTTGCAGAAATATTCCAAGAATTATGATAGATTTATGTTAGAAACCATGAGGATGCCAGATTCAAGAGCCACCTTGGAAGTGCTGGGATCTAAAAAGAAAACCCATGAGCCATTTGTTGTGAACTTAAAAATCAGAAAGTGTGTTTAAAAAAACTGCTTTTCTCGTTGAGGGGGCAGCTGCTCCCTAGAAATTCATCCAATAGGTAAATACCATATTTACCTGATTCCAAGATGACTTTGAATTTAAGACAACCCTGCTCCTCCAATAATTAAATTCTATACATGGAAATTTATACACTTGTTATCATTTTCCACATATAGAATCTAGTTATTCAAGGATCATCTTAAATTTGTTGTCCCCCCTTTTCCCCACCACTGTGCTGGAAAAACAGTGGCAGGGGGACAAGTGGGGGGGGATGT